ATGTCTATATTTCTATTTTCCATTGGCTCAAACAAACTTCTAATGAAGACACTGCTTCATTAACCTAGTGTGTTAGTCAGTCAGCCAATTGGTCAGTTAAGTCGGCATATTTAGGAAAGACGGCTCTTCACAGTCATCAGATGCCAGTTCATGTGGTATCTGAGCTGAATAATGTGGCAGTGAAACAATTTTCCTCCAAGTACTTCTGTTTCCCCTGCAAACTAAAATTCCAAAAAATGCTCCATTTCTCCCATTTATCAGCTGGAAAATTAGATCACTTGAGGTCTAAGTATCCAGGAACTGAGTCTCACCACATCCTAAGAATAACAGAAACATTATTTTGACACAGTTTTTAAGGCATCAGAATTGTTTCTTCTGGATGGTAACAACTTCAATAAATTTGATTCATCCGTGAAGTGTCGCAAGAAATAATATCTGAAGGTGTGTAAGAACTGGATAACTGGAAGAAATCAAGTAGGCGAGTCCAATAGGAGATGAGGATTGTTCTGCCAGGTGTATCAGGGGAACACACAGCGGGCTGTTACTGTGAGACGGCACACTGTAGATCGTTCTTTGATGAAGGAGTTCCACTTTGATGGCTGTAAAATAATTTCATTGGCGATGTCACTTTCACAACATCGATCTACATAACTAAGTAAAAAAACATTTGTATTTCCTAGCTTTCGTTTTATACAAATCGACAACCAGAATTGCAGGATTTAACTTACGTCATTACGTTCTCAAAATAACAGCAGAATTTGTAATGTTAGGCTGAATATAAGATTAGGTAGGTAAATTTGTCCCTGTAGTTAATTAATTAAGCACCACGCCATGAAAACGAAAGGGGGGGGGGTGGAAGTATAATTCCATCATTCTATATATAAGGATTATTTCGAGGTGAGCGGTCAGCTTCAAGCCTCACGCATTTTATCCCGAGAAAAGAGTTTCCGGTACTTGGCAGGAGTCTGGGTGGGCCCCAAAACCAGCATAAGATTAGATAGAGGCTGAGTGTGTATGAAAATTAATGAGACAAAATTCTTAAATCAGAAGGCATGGGTCTGGTGTCTTTGAAACCAGAACGCCACTGCATCAAGCCTGGCCGAATTGGTCGGTACAAAGTCGTATTTTGAGACCGTCAGATCAAAATATGAAATTGTGATTTGCGATTTGTGGGCTGTTTCATAAGGTCTTTCCATCTGGTCAAGAGACTTTGGTTCCGGGGCTTTTCAAAATAGAGTTGATTGTCAGATACTCCGGACTGAAAGAGAAACTCCAAGCCCTCGCTAGGTATTGCAGAGGACTGAGTATGGGAAAGTCACTCCGCTCCCTCGTCATATACAGCCATTTCCAGCTACAAGGCCAAACAGAACAAGCAAATGGTTCCTTTTCAGCTTACAAGAAGCTCATATAAAATTGTCAAAGTTTCTGCGAAATCAAGAAAACTCGCGAATTTATGGCTGTGAGACTGAGTAAGAAAGACAGGATTCATGTAGTCAGCCTAAGAGGACATCTACACAGTCTCAATTTCCAAAAATAAATCACAAATCTTGCACATTGAAGAGTACCGGCATGAATTCGAACGAAAGGAAAAACATCATGCTGTTGCTGTCTGTCGGAATAGAGATGTCATCGGGGAGGTAAAGTGCAGGAAGACGTACAAATTACAGCACGCTCAGAGAGCAAAGGAGAGGGCGACCGTGCCCCTGACATCTCTATCACAGCAGGTATTGGATTATGCATCACAGAGGATGTCTCGACGGCTCGACCAATCTGTCCCAACTTTGCGCGTAAAGATCGGGTCCTGAAACGTCACGAGGAGGTTTGAAGGATGTCCATGAAGGGAGAGAAGAGGTAGCATGGAGGTCTCTATCTCGAGGCGTAGAGGCCGGCTTGTAACCCTGAAGACATCCATCCCACCCAAACCAATAAGGAGGGGGTATCTATGTAAATGAAAAGAGAGCGTGGTTGACGTCTGCAGCCCGAGGCTTAGGAGGCTGGCTGGTAGCCTCAGATGTCATCGAACTTGTCACATCACATTGGATTTGTGATCACAAAAAGGACACAATTTTCCCAACGATCTTCCTTAATTTTGCTAGTTTTCATACTGGTCGATATAGCGACTAGCTACAGGCTGGATGACCCGAGGGTTCGGAGTTCGAGTCCCGGTAGGATCAAGAATTTTTCTGCTCTCCACGTCGTTGAGACCGGCTCTGGCGTCCATCCAACCTCCTATTAAATGGGTATCGGGGGCTCTTTCCCCGGGGGGTAAAGCGACCGGGGCGTGAACCTGACCACTCACCTTCAACTAGTGACGAGGCCAAGAAAATGTGGAGATATATACAACTACTCCCCCATACGCCTTCATGACGTAGTTCGTAATTACTTAAGCACAGGGACGACTTTACCTTTTACCTGCCTAATTTGAATACTGCACGGATTTCATTTGCACTTATACTACTCAGGATAATATTAAGTTGGATTTCAGAGAGAATGAATGTAAGAAGCAGAGGTTAATGGAAATGACTAACAATTTTCTACGTCCTACGTCCTGTAAAATGTAAAATGGCAAAGTTGTCCTTGTGCTTAATAAATTAAGCACTATGTATGTGTAAGTATAACTCCACGTTCTTGAGCTCGGCATTAGACGGAAGTGAGTGGCCAGCTTCATGCCACTGCCGCTTTACCGCCCCCCGCGGGAAAGAGCTCCTGTTGCCATTTGGATAGAAGGCTAGCTGGGCTCCAGAGCCGGTCTACACGCTGTGAAGATAAAAATCTTTCCCCTGTCGGGAATCAAACCCCGCCCGTCCAGCCCATAGCCCGTCGCTATACCGACTGAGCTATCCCAAGTATTTTATATGCTGTCCTTTCGTGACACTGGTGCTAAACATCTAAGTTCTGCTGGGTTTCGAAGTAACAGATCAACTACTGATTAGAATTTTTGCATTCGTCAAATATTGGAGAAAAAATGTGAGAACCTTCGCAGGAGAACGAGAGTACAATGAGACAGTACATCAGCTATTTGTAGACTTCAAGAAGGCCTATGATTCAGTTAGAAAGGAAATATTGTACAATATTCTCATAGAGTTTGGGGTGCCCATGAAATTAGTCAGGCTGATTAAAAGTGTTTAAAGGGAACGTATAGTAAAGTCAGTAAAGGTAAACATGACTGATACTTTTCCAACCCACAATGGTTTAAAACAAGGAGATGTTTTATCGCCACTGCTCTTCAACTTTAATTAGAATATGCCATTAGGAAGTTCACTAAAACCAGGTGGGACTGCAACTAAATGGGACGCATCAGCTGCTGGTCTATGCCGATGATGTGAATCTATTGGGAAATAACATAGATACCATAAAGAGAAACACACAAAACTTAATTGACACTAGTAAGGAAGTTGGTCCAGAAGTAAACGCAAAAATGCGGAGCAAAATCATGATATAAAGATAGGTAACGGACGTTCTGAAAATGTGGGACGTTTCATATCTTTGGGAACGACTATAACAGATTAAAATCTGATTCTGGAGGAAATTAAGAGGAGACTGAATTCAAAACAATAATTTTTTCTGTGGTTTTGTGTGGGTGTGAAACTTGGTCTCTGATATTAAGGGAGGAACACAGACTGAGGGTCTTTCAGAGGATAATAATTAGAACAAGGAGAGATGAAGTGACAGGAGGCTGGAGAAAACTGCATAATGAGGAGCTTCATAACTTGTATTGTTCTCCAAGTATAATTAGAATGATAAGGTCGAGGAGGATGAGATGGGCAGGACATGTAGCACGAATTGGGCCGAAGAGGAATACAAAAAACTCCATGGTCTTTAGTCCGCAAACGACCTATACCGACCGAACGACCGCCGATTGTTGGCGAAGTTAGTGCCAACTTTTGAGGATAGAAGGTGTCGCATGGTCAGCTGAACGGATTCCCACAGCCGCTAATATCGGTTTTTCTAGACCGGAGCAGCTACTTTTCCAATTGTTCAGCTCAATTATCCTCAAGAGTACTTCTCAGAAAATCTGGTAGCGCCGGGAATCGAACCCGCGACCTCTGGATCTGTAGCCAGGAATTCTGACCACTGGACCACAGAAGCGGTCGCCGAAGAGGAATGCATATAGGATTCTGATGGAAATCCCAGAGGGAAAGAGATCACTAGATAGATAAAGACTTAGGTGGGTGGATAATATTAAAATGGATCTTATAGATATAGGATGGGGAGATATGGACTGCATTCATATGGCTCAGGATAGTGACCAGTGGAGGGCTCTTGTGGACACGTTAATGAACCTTCGGGTTCTATAAAATGCTGGGAAGTTTTTAAATAGCTGTACAACTGGCGGTTTCTCCAGAAGGGCTCAGTTCCATGAAGTTAGTCCGTGTATTTCTTAATATCATAAATGGGTGATTCCTAACTGACCATTATGGCACAAATATTTCGTATGTCTGTATGTAGTTGTCTGTCATGTCAAAGTCTTGCAAGGTGTTCATGAGTTGAGAAACGAGAAAGAGAGCCTCTAATATCCTATTAAGTTTCCGCATAAGGATATAGAACATTTAAATTGAAACAAATTAACGTAAGTAAGATTTGAGCCTTTCACGGCGGTGACTATGAAGAAAGCAGTCTTCTGGGATTTGGCACCGTGTATATGTGGTGTTAACCGACGTTCCTCCAAATCCCAGAAGACTGCTTTCTTCAAATTAACGTAACTTATACTTTATGTCACTGACCATATCTGTCTTAAATATTCTGTAAGTAACACTTGAGTCAAGCACCTATCCACAGACATGTTGAGGGTATGGATCAATAACGCATGCATTTCTTCATGAGTAAGTTTAAACGCGAGCAGCTGTTCAGCTGAAACCCCAGACATCAACAAATATTTTCAATATATCACTCAATTAATTGAAATAACTCTTATGTTTACATTGAGTTCGAAAAGTTTAGCAATATCACAAAAATGAAACGAAATAAATTTTTCATCATGATTTAACACAGGTACTCACTTTCGAAGTACGATGCTGGACGGGAAACAGAGATTTGCAGAGAGAGGCTTTCTGTCGATTGGGCACAGCTGCTGCACCCGCAGGAAGGTGCTGAGGCATGCCCCGCAGAAAGTGTGTCCGCATGGGATATCCAGAGGTGTCACGAACGGTTGTAAGCAAATGTAGCAAATGAGATCCTCGTCAATTTCCTCAACATAGTCATAGACGTGAGGCTCGTGTGCGGCATGGCTCTGGCCGCAGCTTCGGCACACACTGGTGCCGCCGCTACTGCCCCCGATGCCGCCCCCGGCCCCACTTCCATTCCTGCCATCACTCCCGGAATGTTGGCCTTTCTCCATTGTGGCACCACCTCACACTCCTACCTCATCCCACCTGCAATTAAAATGAAGTGTATGTATAATTCAGGTCATCACCTTTCATCACTTTCTTCTACATTAACGGATTACGCCCTCTCGCCTGTTCCCATGCAGAATTAATTCTGAAATTAAGAATTTTATAGAGAGTTAGTAGTACTCCTTGGACGGTGGATCAGCGCGTTGCAAGGCCGCTACCTACACAGGACAATACAAACACAGAAAAAACGTAGATCTACCTGTCGCAAGGCCAAAACCTACACAGGACAACACACATACAAACACAGAGAGAAAAGTAGACGGACATTCATGGCTTGAGTGAAATTCGAACCCACAATTCCAAGGTTTGACTGGGTGAAGACACTTCATGCTTTCTGCCGCTCGGCCACTGTGATCGGCATCATCTTTCGTAACTCTAATAATGCTAAATGGAACGTAATTAACAAAAATTGATTTCTGTATATGGAGTTAATTTTATTGTATGAAGAGTCATCTGCATTGTGCTCGTGCGATTGTGAACGAAATGTGCAAAGCAACAACATTCTGAAAACGGAATTACAACATCTGATGTTCACATATTGACTTCCATCTTGAGGTGCGGCCATTTTGACGTTTCTGACAAGGCGGAACTTATAAATTCCAATAACGTGAGCATCAAAAGCACCATTTGCATAGTGAGTTTCATGAAACTATTAAGAAATTTGTTTATAATGCAGAGCTAAATATAACTCTAACTCTGGATGTTTGTCGTAAAGAAAATGAAGACACTTTTACGGTTATTTTGTTTTCATGTGAGACAATTCAATATCTGTGGGGAAAAAAATGTGTTTCAGACCTTTCTCTTCGATCCAGTAACATCCTTCGTGTCAGTTATTTCAATGAAACAGAACTTGCTGAAATTAACTCCCAAGGAATAAATGTGAATATCTCCTCATTCTGGCAATTGATGTTTTACAACAGACAACATCAACAACTGCAATTGATGAATATTCGCGATCGAAGCAGTTTCCCTCCATGGAAGTTAAAATGATTAAAGTATAGACTAAGTAAGTAACTAATCCCGTATTACGACTAGAGAGTGAAATTTTACACAAAACAAACTACCATCACTCCATTTAATCCTCGGGCAATTCAGTGGCGCCGGAAATCATTTCCCTGGGATTACTGTGTAAACATAGAAAGTGTTTTCTGTCCGTTTCAATTCTCAAACGCAACAAAGAAAAAATAAACACTACATTCCAAGAACCCGTCAATGTCATGCCTAGTAAGGAGAGATTGTACTCGACGAGAATGTCTGGAAAGGAGCCTATTATAATCCACTTGAATTAGACCTATTCAGATTTTCTCAACACAGATTTGCCAGTCTTCAGGATGTTATTGAGTTATTTTGAAGACAAAATCGTATGAAAATGAGTCTGATTATCATAAAAATTCACAGCTGTTACTGAAGATGTATAAATCACAAGAAAACTTCAAATTTTGGTAAAACAATCAGAGAGGCTTAAGAACTGAACACATGCTGATACACTACCTTTGACCGAAATAACACAATTAAAACTTAGCCAGAAAGTTTTTTTTTTTTGTGGGGGGGGGGTGTTGTAAGACATCTTTGTATTACATGCAATATATATTGGATTTATCGTTACAGTTGCTCGCCCCATAGTACTGAAGCCATATTTATGAAGATGATATGTATTATAATATGAATTATGAATGCCTGTTTGTCCGCGGGGGGCGCCATTTATCTTCTACGAGAGCACTATTACAAAATTTAAAATAATTATAACTCTTGGTAACTTGTGGCAGCAAAGAGTGACTGGCTACAGGCAGATCTTCGGGGTTAAACTAAACAGGTCACACAACGTCAGTCTGCGAGGCCTGCTTCTGTCTATGTGCTTATACAGCAATGCTCGGCCTTTTCTACACTGTCTTGCTTCGGGTTTCATTACGTTTTCGTTTCATATTTCCAGCTTCTCTCCAGGATACAGATGCCTAAGCAGGATTACATCCAATTAACAGCAATGTCCACATCCATAACGAAGGCCGGCTCCAGACAAAGATGACAGAACTGAGGGTGGACACACTCTGTCCGCATAAAAATGAGCGTTCGTTCAGTTTAAACAAACGGTTGGTGCGTGACATAAAGAAGAAACAAAGGGGATTTTGTCTCATCTAGCTATCTGAAAGGAAAGCCAAACGCAATTACTTTGTCAGGCAGAATCAATGCCAGTGTCCAGGAACAACACAACTGCCTACTACTCAGCTCAGGATCGAGTTTTAGGAACGTAACCTTCAGCCCAACAGCAACACCCGGGACGAAATAAAGAATGTTTGGCAAAATTATACTGGAAAGGTGAAGAAGGAAACAGCACTTGCGTCGAGACAATGCCAAGCATCTATGCCCGACTATTAGTATTTACAGTCATTTCTTAATTAATCATCGCTATGCTGCTGGACCACGTTATCTATCTGTATCTTCTAACGATGCTGCAGATGTTATGTGGAGTCAGGCAAACTGATGATTCTGAACTCGAAGGATGTGTAAGATATTTCCGTGGCCTGTTCAAGCAGTCGTGTAGAGGAATTTAATTTCAGTCGACCTTAAGATTACGACATTTTGGGAGGGGAGTGTAATTGTGTTGTTTGGTAAAATAAGTGCGAGGGTTTCAGAGAAACCTATTGCTTCCGCCTTCAGAGTAGTCAGCCTGAATGGTGTTTAAAAATAATTAGTATCAGAATGACCAGAAAGGTAACAGAGATTCATGTTCGGAATTTAACACCCAACTGAAAAATTTCGTGTTAAATGCGGGTTCATCTATACCATTGGTAAATAGGTTTGTGCCGTTAGTAGGCAGAAACATACGAAATAATATGTCGTCACATCCAAGAAGACCGCAAATTTTACTAGCTTTTTCACAAACATCTGATTTGCTTCATGTTTTTAGATATATAAAACGTACTGCTATATTTCACAGAAGAGTTTGAGCCTTCCCACTAAATCTACATCTGTGTGTGTGTGTGTGTGTGAGAGAGAGAGAGAGAGAGGCCACGACAACTTGGAGATATCTCGTGAGTAAGTAATTCAGTCTTCCATTTTTGATCTGTGGAGAATACATTCCCCGGGCGTCCCTTTGCATTCCTGCAGTAATGCACACTGGCTAAACACATCTCATTTTTAATATGTCAGTACGTGCTCCCGCTTTAGTGTGTGCCTTTTTGCCTTTCCCCGTGGTCTTCTCACGAGAATAAAATGTGCAAATGCTTTGAGTTGCTTGCAGGATTTCCTACATGGGTTGTAGTCATATAACTGAGATGCGGACAAGATTTCCTTACGGAGGTCGAAGCGATAAGTGAAATAAGTTGGCTGTCACAGATCCTCAGTGTGTTCCGTTGAAAGAGAAATTAAGCAGGAAAATACATTCTAAGGCAAACACAGCAAAGAAGAAACGTATGGAAGTACAGACGCTCCTTATCGCTGAAACTTCAGAGAGTCAAATTCCGATTAACTGAAACAGTTAGGCAACAGCAACGGTTAAGCCTATGGCATCAGAGAATGGAGTGAGGCAGGATGGTTATTTTGCTGTTTTCCCTTTCCTGCCACGGATGTAGAAGAGAACAACTGAAGATGAAATGAAATTTACTCGATACTGTTATGAGCCGGGATAGCGCAGTCGGTATAGCGACTAGCTACGGGCAGGACGACCGGGCGATCGGATTTCGAGCCCCTATGGGCAACATTTGTCGCTTCTCCAGGTC